TCTCCTTTTAAAACACTGTGTCGGATCAATATTTGCACTGTAGGCGGATCCACCCACTATGATCAGCTTCAAGGATGTCTTCGTATCCTTGTCTAAACAAACAGTCTTTAACAGGTTGCCTATTATTTACTCACCATTGTGCGAAGAGGGAGAAGCAGATTAAATAAAATCTTGAGTAAATAAACATTTTGTTTATATATTTATCCTATTTTGACTTAACATAATAATCTACTAAGAGATACTTAAATGCTTAAAGGTGCGGTTTAAATGCAACCAATGGTTTGTACATGTTGACAGCTAACTCCCTCAAAGAACCGGCAGCTGGAAAGAATCATGAACCTAAATTAACCTGAATGGCTCCTGAGGTAACAGCAGACACTTCACAGAGCAAATCAGAATAACCCATGTGGAATGAAACAAGATTAATTGTTAACAAAACCTTAACATGACAAGTGGTAGCTGTTCCTATATGTGCTTTGTGTTAGTTCAGCTACGTTATGTCCAGTGAGGAGAAAGAAAGAAAGAAAGAAAGAAAGAAAGAAAGAAAGAAAGAAAGAAAGAAAGAAAGAAAGAAAGAAAGAAAGAAAGAAAGAAAGAAAGAAAGAAAGAAAGGTTGTTCTGAACAAGCAGTCCACATCATAATCTCCACATCCATATAAATGATGAAACCAAAAAACCAAGGCAACAGAACGGAGTGACATTTGTTTCTATGGTGTCTTGTAGGAGTCAGATTACCTGATTAATCTCTTACTCCCACATAAAACATTTGCTGTCTGTGTTGTTGTTGTTTTTCACAAGGTCATTGGCAAGGTCTATTTTCAATTATATTTGCAATTATAATAATAAAATTAGACAATAATGTTATTTCTGTGCAAGCACAAACACACATATATATATATATATATATATATATATATATATATATATATATATATATATATATATATATATATATATATATATATATAAATATACACTCACCGGCCACTTTATTAGGTACCCCATGCTAGTAACGGGTTGGACCCCCTTTTGCCTTCAGAACTGCCTCAATTCTTCGTGGCATAGATTCAACAAGGTGCTGGAAGCATTCCTCAGGGAGTTTGGTCCATATTGACATGATGGCATCACACAGTTGCCGCAGATTTGTCGGCTGCACATCCATGATGCGAATCTCCCGTTCCACCACATCCCAAAGATGCTCTATTGGGTTGAGATCTGGTGACTGTGGAGGCCATTTTAGTACAGTGAACTCATTGTCATGTTCAAGAAACCAATTTGAAATGATTAGAGCTTTGTGACATGGTGGAAGTAGCCATCAGAGGATGGGTACATGGTGGCCATAAAGGGATGGACATGGTCAGAAACAATGCTCAGGTAGGCCGTGGCATTTAAACGATGCCCAATTGGCACTAAGGGGCCTAAAGTGTGCCAGGAAAACATCCCCCACACCATTACACCACCACCACCAGCCTGCACAGTGGTAACAAGGCATGATGGTTCCATGTTCTCATTCTGTTTACGCCAAATTCTGACTCTAACATCTGAATGTCTCAACAGAAATCGAGACTCATCAGACCAGGCAACATTTTTCCAGTCTTCAACTGTTCAATTTTGGTGAGCTCTTGCAAATTGTAGCCTCTTTTTCCTATTTGTAGTGGAGATGAGTGGTACCCGGTGGAGTCTTCTGCTGTTGTAGCCCATCCGCCTCAAGGTTGTGCGTGTTGTGGCTTCACAAATGCTTTGCTGCATACCTCGGTTGTAACGAGTGGTTATTTCAGTCACTGTTGCCCTTCTATCAGCTCGAACCAGTCTGGCCATTCTCCTCTGACCTCTGGCATCAACAAGGCATTTCCGCCCACAGAACTGCCGCTCACTGGATGTTTTTTCTTTTTCGGACCATTCTCTGTAAACCCTAGAGATGGTTGTGCGTGAAAATCCCAGTAGATTAGCAGTTTCTGAAATACTCAGACCAGCCCTTCTGGCACCAACAATCATGCCACGTTCAAAGTCACTCAAATCACCTTTCTTCCCCATACTGATGCTCGGTTTGAACTGCAGGAGATTGTCTTGACCATGTCTACATGCCTAAATGCACTGAGTTGCCGCCATGTGATTGGCTGCTTAGAAATTAAGTGTTAACGAGCAGTTGGACAGGTGTACCTAATAAAGTGGCCGGTGAGTGTATATATATATATATATAAACAGCATTTATTGATAAAATGTGCATAGGCTTATGCCGAGGACTTAACGACTAGCTGAAACATTCTAAGACTGAACTGAACACACTTACAGACTGTTTCCAATGACTGGAACAAATTTTAAACGCAGACTGTGAACACTGACTGAACGCGACTCTGCGTGTTTGGCCATGATCAGTCGTAAGTACCAAATTACATTCATAATCGGCCTTACAGTTGTTAAGTGTGTCCCCGGCTTTAGGCTTGGTGGACTAGATCTGCTATGCTGCTTCTGCTGCATAAGTTAGGGTACAGATGAAAAATGCACATGAATACAGTGAATAGAATCAAACTGCTGTAAGGAAAACCACCTAGCAGATCTAGGCAGGTGTTGCAGGGGAAGGTGGAGGGCTAAGAAAAATCCCTTTGTGTGCTGCAATGAGTTGATCCAATTTGGGACTGAAATAAATATGTTAGGTAAAAAGAGTGGTTGACCAAAATGATTGGCTTTAAGTTAACCAATCAGCTGCTCGGAAGAGTTTCATGACTGAACTATACTATATATGCAAAAGCCTGTAAGTCCATCTAACGTTTTTCTTTAATATTAACATTTTGGTAACACTTTACAATAAGGTTCATTAGTTAGCTACATTAGTTAACATTAACTAAGAATGAACAATACTTCTTGAGCATTTGTTAATCTTTGTTAATGTTAATTTCAACATTTCATAATACTTTATTAAAATCTTGTTAATATGAGTTAATGCACTGTGAACTAATATGAACAAACAATGAACAGCTGAATTTGTATTAACTAACGTTAACAAAGATTAACAAAAACAGTAACAAATGTATTGCTCATGGTTAGTTCATGCTAGTTAATACATTAACTAATGTTTAATAAATGAACCTTATTGTAAAGTGTTACCAACATTTTTATCAGGCTCCTATGTATAGGTTTCTACATAAGTTTACCGAAATTTCTGAATAAGCTGAGGCTGGGATTTAGTGAGTTTGAAGTGAAAGTATTTTACGAACGTATACTATGTGCGGAGTGCATTCACTCAATATTATTATCTCATTTTTGTCAAAGGTGGCTTTTATAGGCTTTTGAATCGGAGGTCTTCATATATATATATATATATATATATATATATATATACACACATACTAATATATACTAATATATAGGCCTATATATATATATATATATATATATATATATATATATAATTAACAAAATAATTAAGAGATTGAAAGTTAGACAGGTATATCAATGCAGGTACTGTATACCAACAGCAATACTGCCATTTGTCAACTGACCCTGCAGCAGATGTCCATTTCACACAGCTCTCTAAGGCAACAGACAAGCTTATCTGGACATGATAAGGTAAATGTGTGACGCGACCCATTTCCATATGCTCACTCTTATTCAAACATGATTATTTTCTTGAGAAAACCGAGGACAGAGAGCGGAAACATAAAGGTGGACTGCAACAACAACAAAAAATGTCTTTAAAATTCAACATATATCCTGATCAGAAAGGTAACATGCATAAATGCTATGTCAGTTTTCTCCCATTTGTTCCTGAATGTTTTCATGGTTTCTTATTTGTAAAGTGACATAATGTGAAACACAAGCTTCACTGCGTGATGATGTGTGTACAAGATGATTCTTGGCACGTGAGCAAAACAGGTGCCTTTCAATTTCTGATCTGGGAAGAAACTATGTTGAGTGTATTTCTATTTATGGACCTAACAGTTTATTTATATAGAAAGTACTGGCCTAGTCCTCCAGTCCTGTATGATAATGTTTGGTGTTTATAATGATCAATATTCCATCAGCAACAGCTCACAAATGTGTTATTCTGTCAATGTGAGTTCAGCCAGTACAGTCTGTCAGTCAATAAGTAGGTAATGATGTAGATGTAGTTCTAGCAGCTGTCAGAAATAAACAGCAAACTAATAATAAATATATAGGACAAAACACATAAAATTGCGTTTAAAAAAAAAGACTATTGTAACGTTGCAATCTTAGACAATCTGTTAATGCACAATAAAGAAGTATCTTACCTCTTTGCAGCTGGGTAATTCCGCTGTCTCCGTTAAAAGTAGGAAGGGGAGCAAAAATATGACACGAACGCTTTGCGTTCCAGCAGTGAAAAGCACGTGGCTTAAAAACATAGCTGTTTCCAAAAGATATGTTCCCTTCAGGCAAGGCGTGTGACAAAACATACGTGCTGTTAATATTGCTGCGCTTTTATCCCGACACTGTTTGCACATATAAGCGTGTAACGCGCTCAGCTCTCCTATTGGTCAGTCGCCCTGGGATGGAGTCCCAACTGCAAACGTGTCCGTAGGCTATATCTAAATAGATGAATATTCGTTAAGACTCAACAACAACAACGACAAAAGAACACAGTCTTATTAGTCCATGTGTTTATAACGAGCAAAGAGTCAATGGCATAAGATTACTCTTTTGATCTTCAAATGGGAAACACATCGGGACACTTTTTGCCATTGAGATGACTTGGAAAAGTGTCCCAATCAACCTGAATTCACCCTACGTAGAAAATTTGGGGGAAACTGAACAGCAAGGTTTTTTTTTTTTTTTTGCTGTTGTAAAAAAACAACAACGGGGTCAACACTCAGTTAATCAACTGTTAATATAAAATTTCACACCCAAAAATGTGCTTGTCTGTAATGTAAGCATATAATTTATTTACGCCTCGCGCGCGCTGTGTGTGGTGGTGCAACAGAAACAAAGCTCAGTTGGTTTCTAGGCAACGGTGGGAGGGACAACAAAGTTGCCAGTAAAAAAAAATCCCAAAACCCATCGAGCTGTTACATTCCATAAAACTCATCTGGATACTGTGGGAATAGCTATGCCACAAGAACGAGATCCGTTTCCATTCCCGCGATATGAAAACGACTATACATACACAGGGAATAAGGCAATTCAGGTAATTACAAATATGAACTTCAAACTTTAAAACTTACCCCGTATCAGTTACAGATATAGGCTAACTTATACACTTTTATTTACATTTGTCACCTTCTCACTTATTATCTCGTTAATCAGAAATTGCCATATGACAAACCAACCCATCTCGCACAAAATGATGAACCCTGGAGGAGACTCCACAACACGACAACACAGGCCAGTTCTCATCGAAATGTCTTTCATTATGATGATACAGTAAGTTTATTTAACCTCGAAATAAATTAACGTACTATAACTAAAGTAAATGAGCGCAAATATGTTCTGGTTCAAAGCAACTGTGTTTTTGAAATGCAAAAACTTTGTTACAAGGCACCAAACGACAGTCTGGACATTCATCTAAAATCGACCTACGACCATCATCTAGGATTATTTCAAAACAAAAGTCAAACAATGACGCAAAAGGAAACTCTTACATTGGATAATGCGTAAGGCTCCCCTCTCTCTATATTATACACATACAGTAGTCAACATTTGAAGTGGATCAAAACCTTTCATCAAAGTTATCCATGAATTTAGAAAAATACCCGTTCTTGTCTTAGAACAACTTTGATTAACTTTTTTGATCCACTTCAAATGTTGACTCCTGTATAATACATACACACATGCGTGATTCCTGTATGGGAAAAATAAAATGGACACTTTTTTTAAAAGAAATGTTTTATTGCCACTTTAAAACAAAAGTAATCATTAATTTCGTTTGAAGGCTTAGCAAGTCTGAATCTCTCAGCCATGCTTTTTATTTTACACAGGACACTGAAAAACAGAGAATCAGAAGAGAAGACCGACAACAAAGGAATAAAAGTGTGGGTCGACACCCAGAAGGCTTCTATATACAGTATTAAAGGGTCCATAGGTGAGAATTAATATTTAAACCATAAGAAATTGATTATATTGTGAAAAAAGAAACGTCATTTACTCAGTTTTTTTTTTATAGAGTCTCATCACACCGCTTCTACAAACCGAGGTTACTCACGTAAGCACGATGGCGGCTTTTATTCTACGTAGCGCAACACAAATACGACCTAAACAAGTAAAGATGACCACCTGTATTTCCAGTTGGTTAAGTAATGAACCGCCACATACATGTACCAAGGCTCGAAAAATAAAAGAAATGAAGACATGCTGGTGTGGTCTCTTCTTAAAATGGATACAATACGTTAGCGTGCAGCTCCGTGAGGCTCACTGATTGTTATTGAGAGATCAGAATCGCCATTATACTCAGTGACCAAACAGGGCGTATTGGAATCAGATCCAGCACCCTGCTTGCTCTAGTATATCTGATCGAATCATCATTTCTTACCACAGTTTCAACTGTGGATGCCCTCAGTGAAAAAGCCTCACGATCATCGCTACAGAAGCTCCCGAGTCGGTTACTATCATCTCTGTATCCGAGCAGGGCAACAACTCGGATAAGATCAAATAAGATCATGGTGTAGATTTTTTTTAAAAGGTCTCATTCTCACACACTTTCACAAAACACAAACATTCATGCACACAAACAACCACTCTATCACGCTCACCTCACACACGTGCGACACATTCACTCAATGACCTCACGTCCTGGTTGACGTCAATATAAGTAGCACTTTGGAATCATGGGAAACTTTCCAACAACACCAAAACTCACAGTGCCCTCTTGTGGTCGGTAACGTTTTATAAATATGAGGAGCATGCGTTATATATATATATATATATATATGAATATATATTCAGATATATATATATATTAACTATGTTATATATATTATTATTATTTTTATATTATATTTTAAATTAATTAATTAAGTGCATTTTGTAATTAAACGTGCAGGAATAAACTGAGACTAAAACCACACAATTTAGACGAGATTAACCTGTTGGTTATTGTTGGTTTAAAAACAAACACCTGTTAATTTCATTTAGTCTTAATGAAGAAATAAAGCGATCAAGAGTCGATGTTTCCAAGGAAGGAAGGGAGTTAAAAACAGCATTGATGTCTGTCTACGGTAATTAGTTAATCTGGCATCCTGCGTGCCTCGTATAGGCCTAGGTAAAGGTTAATCTGAAATAATGAGCTTGAACGCAATGTCTGCATCAAGCATCACTACATAAACAGAGCAACACAGTGAGCGAAAGCCACAGTCTCGACACCAACCGCACGATGCTGGACTTTTTGAACACAACAAAAAAACAATCAGCTGTGTGTGTTGAGGTGAGCGTTGTCTAGAAATGTAGTAACATAATTTAAGTTTAGTTGGTGAACCCTCAGTGTTTCCTACAAAGATAGCAATTTAGTGTATCTGTATTTTTGTATCTGTGGCTATATGTTGCAGGAGTGGGGATTAAATATAGGCTATTTGCTGTCCAGGTACTTTTCCATCGTTAATTTCAAGTGGAACAACACTTTAAGTACTTTTTAATTCAGGTAATTGTTCTTAAAGGGAAACTAATATACACTTTTGGTTTTATGAAGTCGATTTGACTTTGCTCTTTGCCTCTTACCAATCATGAGTCAAAAGGCTTCTGAAGTTAATTGTGCTGTATTCGTAATGCAGTTAGTTTTTACATGAAACTTAAATCTTGCTCCAATTTAATGGCATCAATCCCAGGCAATTCTATTTTATATGAGCTTATTACAAACTATTACATAATATGGTGATCATGATTTGCATGAGTTGTTTATTTCAGACAAGTCTGTCGTGTTTGTTCGGGAATGTGTTTGTGTGTGGCTGACACACACAGATGGCAACTGAGTGTGGCACTGTAGGACCAGAGTAAGCTGGTTTATCCTGGTAATTTATTCTAAACACCCTGCCAGAATGATGCCAATAAATTGGATGCCCAGCTTCTCATTCAGTGGTGTTCAATAGGTTCCTATTCCGTAACTTAAGTTCATTATTTATTTGCTAAATATATTGATTAAACAATGATTGATAACACTTCCATCTCTAGTTTTTTTTTATTTATATATAGGTTTGTGTTACCTTTTAATGCTTACTAAGGAAACCCAAGTTGAACATCTTTTCTCGATCCTATTGGCTTAGTCGTATAATTTCAGTCTGTGTTTCAGAAGTCATGAGATCAAAAATAACTTGAGGACACTTCAGTGTTGAGCTATAAATGGTCCTCTTTGCTTAATTCTTCTGTTAGTAAATCAAGCCAACGTACATTAGGAGGCAGAGCATGTGTCATCTCAGTCCATTGAGAGGATTTGATTCTGTGCTTTCCTCAGCAGGTGGATGGACATTTTGGCACTCAGTTACTCCATTTAAATTGCATTCTAAATGTATTAAGAAACGACTCATTAATTTGCCTGTATTTATTGGCATGTGTACTTTTTATTAATGCGTTCACATTTTTAATTTTTTCTCTCCAGCGGCCAGGATTCAGACATCACAAAAAAGGTACAGGCACGGACTTTGCTGTGATTCGAATTTACTTTGCATCATATAAACCGTGACAAACGTGTAGGCATAGGGTTATACATCTTACAGTTTGCTTCTCATATAAACTAAAGCATTAAAAATCATAGGATTCGTTAACTCTGAATGTTTCCCCTCTCTGTCTTTTAGAGGTCTATGTGTGTCATCCTCCTGTGTCCCAGCAGAGCACAGACAGCGGAGATGAGTTCATTCACCTCAGGAAACTGAATGGCTCTCCCGGCGAGTGTCCCAGTCGCCAGAATCTCCATAAAGAGCTTCTGCTCGGCCATAAGAGGTGAAGAAGAGAAACGTCAACATGAGGTTTACTTTGTAAAGTTTTTGATTACGTTGGAGTACTTTATTTGCCAAGAATAGTAAACAAAGTTGAAAGATATAATCAAGATCTAAATCCCATTAAGCTTACAGTAAACTGTTTTTCCTAAAATATTCTCCTCTGAACAAGGTTTGCTAAACTAAAGTGACCTAAAGGCTTTTTAACTTTTTTTTGTTCTCAGAGGGCTGTTGTTGGAGGAGAAACCAGAATTGCAGCGTGTGTTAGAGCAGAGGAGACTTGATCTGCACAGAGAGGAGGAACTTGCCCTCCGACCCCCTTCTGACCTGGAACAGGAGCTCCGTAAGAGACAGCAGAAACTGCAGGAGGTACTGACCATTTTCTGTCCACATGTTCCTTATCACTGGAATGGAGGTCAAGAGTTTTGCCAGATGCATGGCATTATTTGATTGTCTTTGATAAACTGAATCATGTGGCAATGTGTTTTGAATGGACAGTTGTACTCCTGTATGTTTTACTCCCATTGCAGAAGTTTCATATAATATTTGAGCATTTTGTAAAGTTCACTGCTCTTTTAAATGTCTCTACAGTATGAGATGGAGGAACAAAGACGCATAGAGGATGAGAAAAATGTTCCAGAATTTGTACGAGTGAAGGAGAATCTGCGCCACATACAGTTGACTGAACAAAACTGAAGGATATGTGGAGAAAATGAGCTTTGTAATTTTTACTAATGTTTTCATACAAGAGAATATTTTGATGTTATGAAATTAAATGGTGTACAGCTATAATTTAGTTTAGTAATGAAGCACTGTATTTAAGAGTTGAGTTAAATTTACTGTAAATTTGAGTCGAATTAAAGCTATTGATGTCTTGTATAATATGGTGTCCCCCTCCCTTTTTTCTTTTACAAAAAAAGGAGCATATAACTCAATAGGCCCACTTGTGTGTTATGATACTAGGACTTTAATATCATATTGGGCATACAAGGTTTGACAAGTGACCAAACTGGGAAAAAAGTACCACTGACTTTTTTTATTTTTTATTTTTAAAGCGACTTTCATAATGAAAAGGGAACCGTTAGCCTACATCCTTACATCTCCAACCGTATCTCACCACCAGAATATCATAGCATGGACTTTTATCTGATTTTTTTTTTTAAATGATTATTATTATTGACTGAACTTTTTTTGTTTCCCCTACAATTCCCAAATCGATTTTGTGTCTTGCTGCCTTTGCATTTACAGGTAGCACTTCTGCACATTGCCAGCCGGGAGAGAAATCTCCACGGACTCTTCCTTTCAAAGGGAAATGTCCCCGTTTAATTAGCTGATCTTTAAATTCACCGAGAGGCACGAGGAAAGAAAGCCTGACCATCTGCCGTAACCTGCATTTATCAGGAAAGCAACGACAGGAGGCAAATGGGAAGCAAAGCGCGACAAAGAAATGAAGAAACTCAATCCATGTTGTGTTCTCAATATGTATATATCTTTAAAGGTTGCGGACATTTACGATAAATACTCTCAGCAAATTACTTTGAGTATCAGGCATGCTGCCACGCAGGAAAACAATAAAGTTGTGGCAGCGTGCCATTTCAGATACTATTCATATAGTCCAGGGAACTATTCACCAGCTGTCCTCTTGTTTAAGTCTATTGTCTCGTTTTTCTCCCGCTGGCGACACGCCTATAGCAGAAGAAGCGTGTGCTGCCTTCAAAAAGATCACACTCACACACACACACACACGCTTACGAAGCATTCTAGACAAACATTGGCGGAGTAGCCTATTTGCAATGGTATCGCCCTGTTTTTCCCTCTAAACTTGTTTACAAGCACAATTTGAAAATGTTCCAAGGTAGAATTTTAGGCAGGGATCTATTAATTTGAAAACGTATGTTACTTTGTAAATACGAACTGGAGAATGTTTCAGCTACATGGCATACACCCCTGCGAAGATACGGTTTGGTACAGTCCAGTGGCTTTTGGCTAGCTTGAGTTCGAGTCTACATCCAGCCGCACTGTGGAGTCCACCGGCACACGCGCATCTGCGGGAATGGAGTGAATGGGAGGGTGTGTTTTGGGCTGGATACAGCAAAGGAAGGTATGATTAAGATGCTAAATATTTATATGACATTGTACTTGTATAATGTTATTTGTGCTGTGCACATAATTCGTAGGCTACCATATTTAAATTGTAATTTGTTAAAGCTTTGCACTCCGAGAAATCGTTCATTTTGGGCATGGGCAAATTATTTTGATAAGCTTTTATTGCACTCGTTTTCATTTGTGTGTTTTTTTGTCATAAAGGCTGATGATTTAATTGCATGGAC